AATTTTTTTCCAACATGATCAGTGATTGTTATAGTATGACGTTCCTTAGGAACTGGGTTTGGCATTGCTTCGGGAAATCGAGCTTGAACATTAACTGGTGTGCAATAGAATAAAGATGTGACACCTTGTCTATTAATATTGATATTATAACCTTGCCACCGTTCTATTTATGCAAAGGGCAAAAAGATTTATTTATTTAATTAGACATCAATGCGCATTTATTTTATTTTATTTTTTCAAAGAATAGTTTTAAACTTAGATTTTGAAAATGAACCTTTAGGACCAGTCTCACGATCAAATATTTTAACATTAAATTTTTGATTAAGATTTTTTCGAACAGATTGATAAAAACTAAGTCCACCTATACCGGCTCCAATAATTAAAATTGTTGGAATTGTATTTGTAGTAGTTTCCATTTTTTTAAAAAAAATTCGAATATTCAAATCACTGGTTTTTTTTTTTATTTTATCGGGGTTTTTTTAGATGGATTGTTTTTATATATGGGACCCTCAGCAGCAAATGGGCCAAAAAATATTTTTTTCAATTTCTTGAATGAATTAGGAATTCAGTTTTTATAATCTAAATTACATAATTAAAATTTTTGTCCCATTGCCCCCTTTTGCTTGGGGTCCCCATATAATTATTTAACTTTTCGAGATTTGCCCATCAAATCTCCGTTTATTTTCCATATTTGCACAAAAATTCTAAATACGGTAACGTTAAAATCTAAAATTCGTTGAACATAAATCGTTATCTGCACAATTATTAATAAAAAACTTCTTTTGTGTTGTGGAATTTTTAACATTGAATTTCATAGCGAACTAACTAAATATGCTTGTTAATTGTTAATTTCTTAATATGACTCATTTTTGCGAAACTAGAATTTCTCATTACATGCAATGTATACGGTATCTGTGACCTGAATCTGTTATATTTACAAAAACGAATATTAGATATTTGGGTTTCAGAATTAATTTATGGGCATCTAATTAAACTTATAAAAGTATAATTTCATTTTTAATCACTCTTATTTATGTAATCGGTTTACAACTACTTAGACCACTATTAAATTAATAACAAACAAAAAAATTTATCATGAAATGGGAGTTTTCAAACACTCCCATTTATTTATCTTACTTATTACAAGTTTGATTTTTTAAACTCCTATTTATTTTCGAAATACGTTAATTCGAAACCCATTAATTTCATAAAGTAGTTTTATGTAAACTCTTAATTATACTGTATTTTACTTAATAACGATAGAAACAAGACCTTACCTCAACCTGTGGGTTGAAAATTTAAAAAAAATCTTTATTTGCTCATATTTTTTTTTATTTCAAAAATTTTATTTAATATAATGAAAATTAGATTTCTATACTTTTTGTAAAAAGCTTGTTTTGCTTTTAATATTTTACTTTTTTTTGTTCTTTTCTTAATAAAGAATATATTGATTTACAAATAGCTATCCTGTTATAGGATAGATTTTAGTTATATTTATTATATTATTATTATTAGTATTTAGTTATTATTCTTATTATTGTATTATTTTTGTATAGATATTTTAGAATAGAGAAATTCATTGTAAACATTCATCTCTAAGAGAAATCTCTTAAGAAGCATTCATAGCAAAAAATAATTTTAAATAACTTTGTAGTCAAGAATATTAGTTATATGATTATATAAGTTTTATCTAAAATTATTATATAATATTTAGAGAAAACACAAGCTGCAGCCAGAAAATATTGTGCCAAACTGTGCTAGATAGGGTTTCATATAGGCTAGACTATCTATAAAATATCTATAGATACTATCTATAGATTCTTTATTAGTCTCTTTAA